GACCTAAAACTGCACCCTGCCAGGAGTGGGTGGCCTGGTGGGGCTACCAGTGGTGGGGGAGCCCCCAGGAAGTGCCAGGCTAGGTACCACCCCGGTGAAAGGTGGGTTGGTGCGCCTTAACCCCTAGCCCCTACAACCAGGTGGGTTCCCCACTTCGTAGGGTCTGGAAGGAGGACCCCCAGAGAGAGAGTGGGTCCATAGACTCACACCTGTCTGGACTTCCCCTAACTGGTCAATGCTGGGGCCAGGACTGGAAGGGTTAAAGGGCCAGGGACCCACCGCGAGGAACGCCCAAGAGCTGAGGGCCTGGGCTTCCGACTGGCCCGGAGGTGGACCAGGGCTAGTAGCCAAAAGTCCCGGGGGACCACACCTAGAAGGGGAAGCAGTTCAGGGAGCTATGCTGCCCAGGAAGAAGTCGGATTAGGTTGCCGGAATGGAGGGATCTTAGAGGGGTCCTGATCGGAGAAATCTGGGGCCCAGCATGGGGCCGGTGACTGTTGAGAACATCTGGATGCCATCTGCGAGGCTTGGGCTGGGGTGTAGGGGAGGAACGGAGCAGCAGATAGCGCCCCCTGGCATCAGGGCAAGAAATGGGCAGCCTCCCACTTGATTAACATCTATTAATTAATTACCAACAAGGCATAGCGGGTGAGAAGGCGGGCAGTTAGCCCAGAAACAGGTGGGCAGGCCACAGTGAGATTGGCTTGGAGCAGGCCCTGTTACACCGATCTTCAATAATTAGTTCACTAACTCCAGAGCTACATGCATTCTCCTGCCAAGGACACAATAGCAACTGGTACTACTAAACTATTATATTCAAACTATTCAAGGTGTATGGTACAGAACAGCCAAAATATTCTCCCAGCGAAAGAACACTAAATGTAGTCATATATTATAGTTCCTTTTTCTAATTCCACTACATGCTTTTATGAGATACAGAGACCAGAACTAAACACAGTATTGAAGATGTGAGCACCTTATGAATTTATATCATGATGTTTTATGTTTTATTTTCAGTTCCCTTCTCGATGATGCCAAACATTTTGTTGACTTTCTTGGTCACCACTACACATTTTAGTGGTGTTTTTGGAGAACTAACTACAGTAACTCCAAGGTTTATTTTCTGAGTCTTAATGGCTAGCCCAAGGCCTGTATAGGTTATTTTTCCCCAGGTGCATTACTTTGTACTTGGCAACACAGAAGTTGCTTAATGCTTATCTGACATTTTTTTTGTCCACTCGCATGCCTGGTCTACCTAACTGGAATAATGAAACAATACAACAGATTATATTTCAGTTGATTTTGTTACTCATTTAGCAATGTTTAGTCAAAGCTTATGGGGAAACCCCTCCCCCTATAAACGCTATTCATGAGATTTGTGATGCTAAAATTAAAAGCCACCATACTACAAAGTTTGCAATACATAAAGCACTATCAGTTAGATAGGTACTGAAATGAAGCTGCAGAAATTAATACAAAGCCGATAATTAAAGATGATGATTCTTTTAAGGTTAGCTCAGGGTAATGACTGTGCTTTCACCATGCCTAACATAATCGCACCATAATCCTGTTTGAAACTTCTAGATGGTATAGTACTGTGCCAGAACCCAAACACTGTTAAGATGAAATGTTTGCAAGATGTTCTCTCTTTTTTTTTTTAATTTGGAAGTGAACATTTATTTGTTGTGTCCCATAAGAGCTGAGTCATAGTTCAGTGAAGTCATGAAATTCTTTCATTAGATTTCAGTGACTCTGGATCTGACACAAAATACTCAAAAATCAGGAAAATCTGTATTTTCTAACATTACTTGCATGCTATTTCCTGAACTGAAATACTTTCACATTTCTTAAGTGGATGTATTCTTTATTATAATAGCTTGAAGAAGTCTAACCGAAGGACATGATAATAGTTTTCAACTATTTGAAAGAATGTTTCTACATCTTCTTTATAGCATTCTCCTTTGCCACAAAAGGCAGGGCATATGGCAATAGGTTCAGACTGCAGCAAAGGAGGTTTAGATCTAATCTCAGGAAAAACTTCTTAACTGTAAGAACAGTAGGACAATAGTACAAACAATCTAGAAAAATGATTAAATCTCATTTACTGGAGAAGTTAAAATATCATTCACTTTTCAAGAAGCCCACATCAGAAGATCAGTCTGAAATTGTTTAGGAACAACAAATCCTGCATCCGTGTTAGGACTGGACCCCTGACACCCTTGCCAACCTTTTACTCTATAAGGTCATCTGAAGGATAAGAATATCATGGCTCTATTACAAAATAAATGACTATTACATTGGTTTTGGCAAGTTAAATTCAAAAAGTCCCTGAAATATGGTTAATGTTACAAACTCCGAGATGTAACACATATGCACTTTAAAACTTATTTCTAGTGGTACCATACATGAAAAAAGCAAGGAGACTTTGTTCTCGAGCCTTGCTTATACCCTTTTGAAAGTGCTTTTCAAATATAACAACATTTGTGGTACTGAAATGGTATTTCAGCAAATGGACAAAATAAGAGAAAAAAGTTTTAAAAGTAAAACTTCAAAGTAAATAAAAGGCTCTGACACTAATGAAACTGAGGAGAGAGGGATGGAGTATGAAAGGAAAGGTTTTCAATTGAAGACAATATGAAGAACAAAGATAAAACAACTAAAAACAGCCACCACACCCAAAGTCCCATAACCACAGAAATTCACCCTGATGTTATCTACATGAAAATGTCACCAAACCTGAACTTCAGACATCAGGGATTTGAGAAGGTCTGACTGAAAGAAATTGTATCTGAATATCAAAAATATTAATACGAAAATATTAATGCAACAAAGTGTGACAGATGTGCCTCAAACTCTAGATAGCTGGGCAGATATAAACTGACTATGCTGAAACACAGAGTGAGATCCAATTTGAAATCAAAGGATTTATCTGCTTGTCTCAATCCAGTGAGTGAACTGCTAAAAACAAACAATACACCAAAGGTCTCCTTCAGATAAAGATTTTCACAGATTAAGATCTTTTATCTTTTTTCTATTTATAAGTTCTCTCCACCTTTCAAAATCTAAATACGAGTCTTTTACTTTTGAACATTTTTTTCCACTTTGCCAGTAATAAACATTTTGTTTACTTATTATAGCTAGACAGGCTTCACCTATTGATTTTAGGTTAATAAGCTAATTTTGGAGGCTCTTTCTGTGTAGTCTTCCTGTACAATGCAGCTCGGTGGGGGAGACTCACAAAAAGACAACTAAAGAAACTGTACCTAAGCATAGCACTATTTTTAATTAATATATTTGTAGTAATTTATTAGAGTTCTTTTACTTGTCTAATTCATAGCATGCCTTAGGTGTGGTACAAACCTTTATGTGATGAACAGGCTGGCCATGTTTCTCAGTTTCTGGGTGAAGAAACAATAAATAATTCAGCCTGCCTATTCATTCCTTCTCTGGGGTGAAATTTTAGGTTAAAAGTATAATTCATGTCAGAGGTATGGAGATCAAAGTAGTGATTTAACATATGTGAAAACAAGAATTTTATGCCCCAAAACAACACAGGGAGTTGCACAGTAAAACTGTGGGTACCCACTGGATTACCCTCTTTGCAAAATAGGGGGCTACATAGATAGCATACAAAGAAAAATGAAATGGGGAGCAAAAAAATGAAGAACTGGGTTAAACTTATTTCTTCCTCACGCTGTTAAAAGAAAGAAAATTATTATATTAGCGTTTATCACTTTTAGAAATTATTAGAGGTACACTGGTACATTGGTCCGATATCAGATTGGTATCAATATAAAGAAAATTGTCTATATCAGATATTGGTCTGATAGGGCCAATAATTTGGCCCATAAACGCCCATGCTGCATGCAGCTGCAGCACAACATGGGGCAGAGCTGGCAGCATGGAGAGCTGGTAAGTCAGAAAGGGAGTGGGGAAGGAAGGGACATGGGGGCACATCAACACCGCCTGTGGTGAGGGAGGGGGCAGGTGCTGCCTAGCTAGGGCAGGCGGGGGGGGACATAGGATGGAGGCACGGCTCGTGGGGTGGGGGCAGCTCCCACCACCACTTGCACACCAGGAGGGCGGGGTCATGTGCCCCTGGATCTGCGCGGCTTGGGGAGGGCTGCAGCTGCAAGGTGGAGGTGGAGCCAGAGCCAGCGCTGTGCGGCTCTTCTCGCCGGGGCTGGGCTCGGAGCGGGCTCCGGTGGCACTGGGAGGAGGCTGCAGCCACCCCAAATTTCACTGCAGCTCTGCTCCCTGCCACACACCTCCACCTGGTGCAGCCCCAGCTGAAGGCCCTGCCTCCACCCAAGCGCCAAGAAAAGCCGGAGCTGCACAGGGTGGTGGTGCGGGGCTGGGAGTGGAGCTGTGGCAAAATTTGGGGTGGCTGCAGCCTCCTTCCAGTGCCACCAGAGCCCACTCTGAGCCCAGCCCCCAACAAGAAAAGCCCTGTGCAGCGCTGGCTCCACCCCGCAGCTGCAGCCCACCCTGTACTGCGCAGATGTGGAAGCACATGCCCTCCCGCCTCCACCCTCCTGGGGTGCGAACAGTGGCGGGAGCTGGCCCCACCCCATAGGCTGCACCCCTGTCCCATGCTCCCTCCCCCCTTGTCCCGGCTGGGCAGTGCCTACCCCTGCCCTTGTCCCCTCCCTCACCATGGGGGAGCATTGATTTGCCCCTCCCATGCGCCTTCCCGCCCTCCTCCCCTTCCACCACCTGATCGCAGCTGTATCGGATTGGTATTGGCTGATATGCCTCCTTAAATATTGGCTATTGGTATCGGCCCCCAAAATCTCTATCAGTGTACCCCTAGAAATTATCGTTGTTTGTGGTTAGCTTAAGGTAATTAAGGCTGACAACATGTATTTATAAAGAACAGTCTTAAGGGAAAGGAGACAGGAGGAAAGGTGGGGTCAGGTGAGAAAAATCAGACATAGAAGGTCACAAAAGACGAAACAAAGATATATGACAGTCTAAAGGGGTGAATAGCCATTTAGAAGAGAAGGAAACAGAGATACATTAGCAGAGCTAAGCCATGCAAAGCCCTGAAAGTAAAGAAAAGGAGATTAACTTTTATATGAAAGAGATAGCAAGCTGGTAAAGGAATTTGAAGACAAGTAGGACATGGCCTGTCAGCAGATAAGACAGAAGATTTTTAAGACAGCATTCTGGATGGAAGAGAGGTAAGTCTGGGTATTCAAAAAAAATACTGGCAATATTGGAAGCAAGATATAATCATGGCCTGCACAGGAGATTTGGCAGTTGAGAAGGAAGTCTTCATGGATTTTATTTTAAAAAAAGCTTCACAAAATAATAGTCAACAACGTAAAGTGTACTTTCTCTCTCAGCATATAAAGAGATCTAGTGGAGAGCATAACAAAAATTCTCCCTCTCCTATCGCACAGCAAAGTCAAAAAATGAGAATTCAGGGCAGTTAATGTCATTTGGCAATGTAAAATCTGTCCCCTTTAGTGTGTTCCACTGATAAAACTGCCAGTAGCTGAGGGCAAATAATGAAACAAGTTACAAAACAAGTATTGTACTTCTTGCATCATTCTGCCCCCAGAGGCATTTTCATTGCCCTAAAATCCAGAGCAGCATTTCTAAGTTGTGGACAACTCAAGTTGATGACTTGTTAAATTGGAAAGGATATCTGTTACTATTTAATTCAGAACTAACGCTACATACTAACATGCTTATTAGAAATTATTAACTTGAATAATTAAGAATGTGCACATTATATTACATGAAACAGTCTAAATGAAACTCACAGTAAAGCAAATGTTCCTGAAATCCATAACGAGTGATCAAGTTACTTACAGGTGTAGGCCTAGAGAGAATAAAAGGATAAACATGAGAAAGGCCTAGCAACTCTCAAATTAATGTAGAGTCCAGAAGAAAGGCAGGGCCTCCAGACTTGTCCTCAAGAGTTTTACTTTCTGCAAAACTACATAGCATATTGCCTATACTGCTAATGTCAACTTCCAACTGCTTATGAAGTTTCTGAATTGATACTGATCTGAAATAGAACGGAGCTACTGTAAATATCATAAAAATTGCCAAGTTCAGTTTGTGATCAATATAAACGAAAAAAGCCATTTTAATCATCTGATACAAAAAAAAAATTCTGAAAAATAAAGGCTGTTTATAGAATGTCACAATGACGTGACATGAATGACACTTTAAAAAAACAATAACAGGATGACTCAATGACAAAATCTGATCGGTTTAAATATAAATTACAAGTGTAATTTAATTTATTTGTTGGTTTCACTTAATCTCCCCTCCTCTGGGAACAAACCTTACTTTTCTACTCAAGCAGCTCAGTATATCAGCAGATGACTGGGTTGCTGTAAAAAGCAAACAAATCTCTCTCACTGTAAACTGAATGGTATCTCTAGAAGTCTCATGCATAAGCCTTTATATTTCTTTTTTAATTACAAATAAATCATATTCATAAAGAATAATGGAAAACCTATTTCTACATGCAGTTATGCACTTACCGAGTCATTGCGCTAAATAGACCACGAATACGTGCCCGATGACGGGATACAAAGGCTTCTGTAAAAATCACCCCTCGGTTGTCCTGATCTATTTGTCCACGGATAATTCTACCCAGACGCCCAGACAATGCCTGTAAATAAAAGCTATGTATGAAAAATGCTGGAAGGAGGTACTGTAATTATAGCACCCTCCCAAAATAAACAAACAAACAAAAACCCCAAAGCAAATAGACAAATGGTGTAATATAGAATCAGAAAGTTAATTCAGAAATAAGAATTCATTCAAAATTACCCTCTTTATATTGCAAACATGTCCTAACAGACAAAAGATTGTGTGCATGTATTCATCTGCAGGTGAAATGAATTTTTCAAGGGTGCACACCATAACCTGAACTATTGAATGATGACATTCCTTAGCATTAGACATTAATATAGGACAATGAAAAAATGAACAAATTGTAAATGTAATCCACTTTGTCTGAGGCTGCACAAACACACCTCAGATTTAATCTGAATGCAGGGCAAAATAAGTCAATAGCCTGTTCTTTCAAGATGTCAAAATGACTAGTTTTGGCAGAAAAAATACATGGACAAAAGAAAGACGGTTTCAAATGTGCATTCTAAGACATAAATTAAAATATTCAAATCACCTAAGAAATAAGTATATGCATCTGTTTTAGAAAACTTGTCCAGGAATTGATGGTGCTAGATTTGTATTATTCCTCAACTAAAAGGCCCGAAGGGACAACTATGAACATGTGGTCTGGATTCCTACATAACAAGAATTTCTCTTTCAGAAAAAGAATTAATATTGATTAAAAAAAAATCCCGTAACAAGATAATTCAAAATTCATAGTAAATTATTCCAATACTTTATTACTTCAGTGTTAAAAAGATTCAGATTTATTTCTAATTTGAATTTCTGTTTTCAACTTCCAAACACTGGATCTTCTTACTCCTTTTCCAGTTCAACTGAAAAGCCTTTTGTTTTCAAATATTCTATTCTTCATGGTATATTAACTGATTAAATCACATCATTTTCTTTTTCATAAAGTAAATAGATTATTGTATGAGACTTTCATTAACAGGTAGGTTTTCTAGTCATTTAGCTCTTTTGGTATATTCTTAAACTATCACAACAACTCTGAGGACAAAGCCCGGTTTGTCAGTCCAAGATGAACATGAGTTGTCAATGTGATGAAGTGATCAAAAGGCTAACTGCATTTTATTATGCATTAGCAGAAGCATGACGAACAGGTCCAGGGAGGTGATGCTTCCCCTCTATGCAGCACTGGTCAGGCAGCAGTTGGAGTATTGCGTCCAGTTTTGGGCGCTGCGCTTCAAGGATGCGGAGAATCTTGAGAGGGTTCAGAGGAGGGTTACTCATATGGTCAGAGGCTTGCAGGCAAAGCCCTACGAAGAGAGACTGAGGGACCTAGATCTCTTCAGCCTTCACAAGAGAAGGCTGAGAGGTGATCTTGTGGCTGCCTACAAATTCATCAGGTGAGGGCAGCAGGGAAATAGGAGATGTTCTATTTACTAGGGCACCCCCCGGAGTAACTAGGAACAATGGCCACAAATTGAAGGAGAACAGATTTAGGTTGGACATTAGAAAGAACTTCTTTACAGTAAGGGTTGCTAGAATCTGGAATGGGCTTCCCAAGGGAGGTGGTGCTCTCTCCTAGTTTGGGGGTCTTTAAGAGGAGACTGGACAAGCATCTAGCTGGGATCATCTGACCTCAGCGCTCTCTCCTGCCCAGGGCAGGGGGTCAGATTCGATGACCTACTGAGGTCCCTTCCAACCCTAACATCTATGAATCTATGGATACTGGAATACTTGCATGCATATAAGGTGTCATGGATTTAAGCCAAGGCAAAGTTACTTTTGGGGGTTCACCATGTAGCATGCAGGGATATTCTCCAAAATTAGGTTAACTCTTGTGGTGTTTAGTCTCTAACTGTAGCTAGTGCAAAAATGTGTTCAATTTCATTATTCTCATATCCATACCCTTATATCAAATACTGTACTATGACGTAATTTTGATCTACCTTTCTATTTCAAGCATGGTTATGTCAGTAAGGCAGCAATTAACTTGAGCAGTCCTCAACTGTTCACGCTTAGAACTACAGTCAATGGCTGAGAATTAGCATTTGACTTTGGTTATTTGCTTCTCCTCCCTGCTCTGAAGCAAGGGAAGCCTGGACCTGGACTTCAAAAGAGCCAGAAGCCTGACACCTAACTAGTTTAATTATCATCCAGACGACAGGGATATTGGACAGCAAATTAACATGTGTAAACAGGATGCAGGTTTGTAGTTTAGTAAATATGTACCTCTGGGGGCAGGAAGCTACTCATGTAAGATAAGCTCCCCTAGAAATGATGTGTGTTGTAGAAATGATGATCCAGACTGCCAAAGGTAGTTGGGCCTGCCTAGAGAGCATGCATTGTTCTCAGTTTTTCCAGGGAAAAGTGGGAGGCTGAGGAAAGCAAACTGACAGGAGAACTTGCAGGAAGCTCTGACAGGAGGGTCAGAGGCAGGGTCTGCATTTAGAGATGTGAAGCTGACTAGGGACTGCAACCTTGGATTTAAGGGCACTAACAGATGCAAACTCCACACCCTGGTGCTTTATTGGAAGAGAAAGCGCTTTAGTTTGACCTGGCTCCCCAGTGTCAGTACAGATTTGGGCACTTCAGTGGGGCTTTTTGGTGCTGTTACTTAATAGGTGATTGATTCAGCTATGGGATAAAAGCACCAAAAAAGCCCAGCTGAAGCTCTCAATCTATACAGACATTGGACGACCTGGTTCAAACTAATGTGATGCCTATTCTAGGCATGTGCTTCACTTGGCATGGGAGTACACTGAGCTGAAATTAAAGCACCAGTTTTTTTGATGTCTCTAAGCAGTCTAAGATACAGGGTAAGAACAAGTTAATGATCTGGTATTTTTTTTGCTCATTTACTCTCATACCTCTATCTATATTTCAGCATATGGCTACTAATTTCTTATGCTTGCTGTTGCTTTTTATAAATCCTCTGATGTCAGTAATACATGTTTCCAAGCTATCTGACCAATTCAGACTTGCCCCATTCCACAGAAAGGGGGAATCCATCTTTTCTAAGCATGTGATCAGACAAGGGTATGATCCAGCTGGCACAATCCCCTCTGCTTAAGGGCTGGCAGAGCTTGAGTGAGACAGATAAGGCTGAAGCACTACAGGCCAAGAAACGGTCCTCTGGTATACATGAGCTGGTTCTCAGTGGTCAGATACTGAACAATAGAGAGGAATCTGGGGCAGAAGGTATGGAAGCACCTGGGAAGTGTCTCCAGGACGCACCGAGGCCACATATGGGGTCAAGGTGCTATCATGCCAGGTGACTGCATAATTCACTTAACTGTTGCTTAAATGGTACAGTGCCAGTACCAATTTATTCCTTATTTATTCCAGTAACTGCAGTTTGCTATAATGCATCTTGGAGAGTGCACAAACTGCTTTTGCGCATAGCTTATTTCCAGCCTGGGTCTACGGTGTAACTTAATTGTACCCTATCTTAGTGTCAGAAACACTGAAGATGAAGGAGCTGTCAAAAGGCTGCTATTAGAAGCCTTGAAAATGACAGGAGCTAATCAGTTTCATGGCTGCCATCTCTTCTCACTTCAAGGCTAATAGCAGTCCCAACAGTGATTGTCAGAAGCCCTGAAAATGAGGGAACTAATCAGTTTCAGAGCTTTAAATACCACAGCACTGACAGTGCTGTTTATTTAACTAACACTGATTGTTTACATTCATTTTGGATAAGTGCAAATCTTTTTTCAGTCCTAAGGTTATGCACTTAGAGTACATGGTACTAAGGTGGCAAGTTTCAACATAAAACTGCTAACAGCTGCTAAAATGCAGCTCTCAAATTTAATTTAATACGCTGCTCAAATTGTCATGTACCTGTAACCCTTCCAGATTGCAAATGAAGCTTTTAACAGAGGAAACAGTTCTTCAGAAATAATTCTACATTTCTTTTAGAAAAATGTTAGATAGTATGATGTTACCTGTGTCAGGAAGTCTCCTGGAAGGTCATATGCCTTGCAGAGTTCAGATATTGTCACTTGGCCAGTTTCCTGTAGTTTATCATTTACCTCTTCTGCTAACTGGTCTAAGTAACTCCTTATATGAAACCAGGGAAAAAGATATTAGCATCACATCCAAAGTTTGATATGCTTCTCTTTAAATATAATTTTTCTGCCACACTAATTCATTTGTTCAGAATTACCATTTTTTCCGTACTGTTGTAGGCTTGTCTAAATATGCTAGAACAAGCTGTCAAGTGGAAATAGAGTGGGATGTGGAAATTCGTGTTAACCAACATAATTATACAGGGAAAAGTTGCTCTAGTAACTAACTCAATATAATGTGAAAACTTGTCATTTATTTTTTAAACAAAATAAAAAAGTTTGTTCACCATTCCTTAAACAAACAAACAAACCGACCCAAACAGGTGCATGGAGGGGCATGCACACACACAAAGATGTTTTCTGTTCTCAAAAAGGGCCAGAAAAGAAAGACTTTTACAGGACATCAACTTTAACATTATGTCTTAAGACTAAAAACTGAAGAATAATCAACAAACAGAAGCACCCCCCATTATAGTCATAATGCACTGAAAACGTCTAAAATCACATTATCATCACTCTTGAAAATACTCACTCATCTATAAGCTGTCCCAGAACAAGCTGAATAGCTCTATCTGATTTAACAATGTCATTAGCACGGTTTTCAATATGTAGCAGGTCTACATTTATTATCTGAAAAACACACACACATACCTATTAGTCCTTTCAATTCAAATTAAATCTCAGATACTGAGACATTATTTTCACATTTGCATTTCTTGGGGATATCTATTTTGTAATAATCACATAGATGCACAAGGTCATATATATTATAATCGCACACTCTATATATGTATACATAAAATCACACATTCTGTTCAGTAACGTGGAGTAGAAGCGTCCATGCTTTAAAAAAAAATCTGCAATTGTGACAAGGTTAAAGGGGCCGATAAAATTAAGATTTCCATAAAGCTCTGCACAGAAACTATTCAAGCATCTTACAGAGAGATTTTCTGGTTCCAAAGTAATTTTTCTCCAGCCAGAAGCAAAAATTAGTTCGAGGAGATTATTGGTGGATAGAGGTTAGCAGAGATGTAAGATTAATGAAGGAAGAGAGAACCCAAAGAGGCACACAAAGTTAATTATGTTTCTATGCATGTCCTCTCAGCTCTACATTTTAATGAAAACAGACTTTTTAAATCCATTTATTCTTCTAAATTCTCTGCTTTCTTCAGTTGAGAATTCAATCAAGAATTTAGTGCCCTTTTAGTGGCAATTTCAAAGATCCTGAAACAGCACAGGAAGGAATGTTGCAAACAAGAACAGTATTTTTTTTCTGAGGAAGCGTAGTACTTAATAAAGTGTTTGGGGAATGGTGCTTCTAATCTTACCAATGCTACTCTAATCTCCCCAAAATCTACTTCATCCATTTGTTTATCACTTTGTGAAGTTAGTGGTTTCACAAATATTACATTAATAATTTTTTACTAAGTGTTGGACTAACAGTATGCTTGGATATTGATAGACTCCCTATATGCAGAAATGGAGAACCACAGAAACAAAGTGTATTTAATTTTTAGAATAAGGAAGTTACCTGTTGTAAGTCAACAATGTTTACTCGACCTTTAAAAAAAATACAAGGGTAATTTAGTATATCAAATATCTTTGAAAAGGTTTATAACACAACACAGCCAATGATGCATGAACAATTTCTTCATTATACTTTTAACGGTTTCAGAAGTCTCGAGCTAACAACACATAAAGCTGGAATCTGATCATCACAACACAAGATTTCCCATAACATTCTCCTCCATGCATCTGACAACCTGAACAAAGAGACTCAAAGGGTAAAAGGACTGCTTAGGTTCCAGCCCTGTTACCTCACTGCCAAAAGTGCTGGCTATGGTGACATGTGAGCGTTGGTCCACTAGTAATAAAACTGAGCCTGCCAACCCTATCTACATACTGCCATAAACCACTGTCAAATGATATCACTTTCACTGAGGCAATAATCTGTTACTGGATCAACTGCAGGGTTAGAATAGGCTTAAACAAGTTTCTAGGTATCAGAGTGAGACTCAAGGAAGGGTACTGATACCCAAAAACCTTGTTTAAGTCTTGCCCAAACCTGCAGTTGGTCTAGTAAAAGATATTACCCACAAAAATTCTTCTCTTGCATATTTCCTCAACCATCACTGCTACAACCCTACTTCAACACTAGCAATAACTTTCACTGTGTGCTGTAGTGAATCAACAATGAGTCACACAGTACAGGGTTACTTGAAGAAAAAACATTGGCTGCTGCACATAAAAGTGGCTAGTGTATTTGCTTATTTTCCAAACCATATGACCCCATATGCTACATAAAGGAGAGAAAGAATTAGCATCAGAAAGCACCATATGATTTCTTTTAATTTAAAACTATAGTTAAGGCATAATTGCTTCCAGTATGCCTGCAGTGTGTAACACAGCAAATTTACAGATCTAGATTAGAAATTTTACTGACAAAAACTAAATCTGTTTAGTGTTTTGCTCTTGTGCCTAAGAAACATTCTAAAACCATCTTACATTAAAACAATCATATGAGCACAGTGTATCTGCATGTCACCCATATAACTATGATCATCCTAAATTCATGGCTATGTTAGTAAAAATTTTCTAATTTGGAAGAGCCCTTAGAAGAGTCACTTATTGAGCATCTCTGATGGAACAGTCTGAAGTTCCATTATGGAAACTTTTATACTCATTCTTCTGACTGTAATTACACTTCTATAAAAAGTACTAGCCAAGTGCCCGTCAAGAATGATGGGGAGGATGGGGGTAGGCGGGGACAGAGTGCCATCACCCACCAGCCTGAGCCGCTGTCGTCTCCCAGGAGCAGGTGGGAGGAAGCTTGCTCTGTCATACTCTCCATCAGCACCCTGCGCCACCACTGCCACCAGCGCTGCTGGCCTTGCCTCTGCTCCCCAGCCCTGCTCCTTGGAGGCAGTGGAGTGGCACCATGACAGCAGGGATAGAGCAGGGGCGCGGCCGCTAGCACTGGCCTAGTCCCCTCGCTCTGTCACTGCCGTCATGGCAGCACTCCGCACTGATTGGTTGTTTCACTAACAAGTAATGCTAGTAGAAGAGCAATGCAGAAAGTAATACAGCTGTAATCCTTCCCAAAAGCAAATGGATGGTTAACTGCTTTCAACCTGCCTTTGCAACCTGACTAAATATATCAGTAGTATTTAAATGAGTTGTGACTATAAGTAAGTAGCGCTCAGTAAAGTCCTCAACGCTGTAAACCCAAACGTACACCTACACGTTTATTTTTGGTCTACATAACCAGCTTAAGCATTCTGTAGTGCAGGGGTGGCAGACTTGTGGCATGGGCGCCATAAGTGACATGGGCAGCGCTTGTGTGAGGCACACAGCAGACTGGCAGGGGGGAGGAGGGGGGGAACAGGCAGCAGTGGCAGAGGGTGCAGGGAGCCACCAGGAGAGAGGGCAGGGAACACAAGAGCGGGGGGAAGAGCAGAGCAGCAGCTTGCTTGGGAAGGGCGGGGGTGGAAAGCGGGGCAGCAGAGCACACGTGGAGCACAGGACAGGAAGCAAAAGGCCGGGCACCAGCTTGCTCAGGGAGCAGGTAGCAGAGCAGAAGAACAGATAGGGGAAAAGGGCTCCAAGTTGCACTCTTTTTTTTTTTATTTTGGAAAATGTTTCGTGTTGCAGGTCAAATTAGCCAGATCAGTTCCAAATCCTTTCCAACTCAATCATTCAAACACCACACGTGGTGCTGCAACCAGCAAATATCCTCCACCCCACCCTTTCCAGCCTGGGGCTTCAGATACTTCCAAGCCCACTGGCAGGCCCCCCAAGCCTGGAGAAAAGTGGCACTCGGCTTTGGGGTGGCCATGGGGCTCAGGCTACAGCTGGACCATAGGTGGACTGGTCAGGGGTCAACTTCTCCATGGCCCCACCTGCCGGGGGCACCACCCCGGGACCCCCACAGAGGGCCCTGCCGCAGCAGGCACAGGAAGGGGAGACTCTGCCGCCCCCAACCCTGCACAGAGCCATCCCCCAGACGCCCTGCCCCCAGCCCCGCCCTCACCAGCGCGCGCCCGCAGCTCTCGCCGGACCTCCCTGT